ATCTGTAACAAAATATGGGAGAAAATTTTTGAGGCAAAATAGCCAACAAAAAGGTTTTGAAATCATGAAACTATATGGAACTTATCTACCCTGTTATAGTTGGATGTCGAGCGTATTTAATCAAAATATATAACTGTATACTTGATTGTGTCGTGTATCTGGTTTTTATCAATTAAATTGTATGAAAGTTACTGAAACTATCAATTTCTTTATTGAACTTATATATTATTAATGTGTTTACAGTCATATTTGCAAATTGGCCCCCTGATTATCATACGACACCTTATTAAAACGAAATATTGTCTTAGCAATTCCCTTCCAGCCATAAATATACTCATAATTAGTTCTATGTCAATTTGGATGGCGCGATCGAAGTAGCATCATTAAAGCTCTCTTTATGAATCCCCAGAGGAATAAAAAGCTCAGCCCCAAATTTTCTCTGGCAGAGAATATTTGAGTGTCTTAAATTTTTTCACTTGAATAACTCGCTCTCAACGAGCTGAAGCGTGCAAGATGAAGTTTAAACAGTGGGACCGTGTCAGAGGCAAACTTTCCCAATAATGATGGAAATGCCGAAGCCAAATTTCGATCGCTGGCAAGCAACCAGAACTCTGGCTATACGTTGATGTTCCGTACGTTGCCAAAATACATATCTGAACTGTGACAACGTATTTTATGAATATGTTTAGTCATTGTAAATATACAAAAAGTACAAAAAAAAATTGAGTTCGTAATTATATTTTTGGATAAGGAAAATGTCCATTATTCAAGAATTTTAGAGGAATACTGAATTAAACATATTTGGGTTTGGTGCAAAAGTTAGATATCGTTGAATCTATAATGACTTACTGGATGAAAATCTGCAACTTTTACTTTGATTATGTACTAGTTTATGCATTAGTTTTACTTTTATTATGGTCTTTTTTGCATTAATAATAGAGCGTTTCTTGCAGAGTAAGCAATGAGTCCTATTCATGAACCCCCCTTTGTGCTGGGTTTATGACGATAATTTTTCTAATTTCATAGACAACAAAAGACTTCCATATAAGTTCCACCGTCTTAGTTGGTAACTTAATGGCCACCATTAAAACAATCTGCAAACTTCCTCTGCTAAACTCCACAAAACTATAAGCAGTACTGGGTCTAGCTAGCAAATCACCCTGATCTTTATCTGTTACAAGAACTTTACATCTTAAAGAGATGGGCGTTTAATGACCATCGCGCCAAGTCAGGCCCTTTTCTCAGTTGCATTTATACGGAGTTCAGAATGAACTTATAACAAGAGCCAGGAAGTTTGGACTTCGGCTTAAGCTTAGTTTTGGCGGGGTCAATGGGAAAACTAGATGACTTGGCGCTTTAAGGGCTGTTCGTGTCAATGGAGAATAGAATCCGGATTGCGGTTTTCCTTAGCGAATCTTTGTGGCTGTATAATTAAACAGTGCCAAATGTTTTTGCTAAGAGCACACAATAATTGATTGCCAACAGAAATACTACCAAATGATTTTGCTTGTTGTTTTAAGCTTTTCTTAAAGTTCAGTTATATCTATTTCGGGGCGTTTCACTTCCAAAGAGCAAATTAAAACGCTATGATGATCTATTTTGAAAATATTTTCCAATGAACTTCTTCGTGTTTTATTGTCAGACTTAGAAATAAACTTATACGTACATACAGAATGGCCTGAATGTTAATCTGAACTGATAATTAAATTTTGAACTCTGGGTTTCAAATGTGATGCTTTTCCTCTACAATAGTCGAATTCAAGAAGCGATATATGCGTTTATTGATATCAAAGGAGATGTAAAGTGAGACGTTTTACCGGAATGCAGTATTTCACGAATACATAAGGCTCGAATAACGAGAAAGGGAAAATAAGCGGAAAAAAGAATTTACGGATATCAAAGAGGGGTGCTGGGCACGCTCTTTTGAAGCAAAGCATATCGAATCAAAGGCAATAAAGGCGAAAGAGGAGAATATATAAATTACTATGGATTTTACAGATATTAAATATGAAGGCTCTGCCTTTTTTTCAAACATTTTAACATCATTCAGTTGCAGTTCAATGCAGCGAAAAAAATATTCAATTATTAAGATATCTAGTTTTTCTATCATTTGGAAGCTTAGTAAAATTTGGCATTATAATTTCCAAAAACATTGTATAATAATGACAATTTTTTTCTAACCAAATTAATGACAAATAAGTGAATCAAGACTCAAAAAACAAACATGAATAAACGAGAATAAATCCTTCAATGTATATATTGTATGTAATTATGTATGTTTTTACATACCTTTAATCAGCTCCCTTTGATGGCCTCTCCAAACTGGCAGCGGCCATATTAAAATTGTACACCTTCTTGAGGCGCAATCTCGCACAAATCGAGCACAATCTCAACTGAAAACAATAGTAACGTGTAAATCAATGGCATCAAAGTGATAATGTGGATGAAGGGCTTATTAACAACACATTAAAATTGGTGCAAACAGTCCTGAATATTATGCTTCATTTTCAGATAGCATAATGCCTGAAAAGAAAATATATTTCTGATGTATTGATGGCTTTTAAAGTTATTTATTTATCACGCTTTTACAATAATAATCTTGCGAATGTCGATTCTAGAAGGAACTGTGGATCTGAAAGTTGCTTGTTGTTGTTTTTGCTTGCCTTTAACCAGAATTCCACAAAAAGGCGTGGCGGACAAGATGAAGAGTTTTTTAAAAATATTGTAATTATTAATAATGTAACTAGGAATTGTTTGGCTTGCAAGAAAAATTAACTGTCGTTTAAGTAAAAATGTAAAATTAAATAGCCTGGATAATGTTAGTGTTTGAATATACCGAACAAAAAAGTGCAATTTTCATAAATATTTATTAATTCGCGGTTACAATGAAAGGACGACAATCATGTCCATTATACCAAGGCAAACCAATACTTTTCCTGCAGTTTAAATAAATTTATTGTATGTTAACTTTATTGACAAAATAGGCATGTTTTCGACTGGTAGATAAAGCATTATAAAAGTATCACTATTTTTATAACAAATTGTTCAAGAGTTTAAATTTTCATTCGGCTGTCTGATTCAAAAATATAAAAACAGAAATACCGGAACTGTTTATTAGGAAGTTGCATCCAACGAGAAAAACAGTGCTGGAAGTCTTCTTTTAGTAGTGAGAGCAGTCAAAGACGCAAATTTGCAGTAATACTTTTACAATGTAAGCTTCACATCGTCGCATTAGTCCGATGGGGCAATTTACAAACATAAAGCGTGTTCATTGTCTAATCGCTTAAAAATCATCACACCGCATCAAAGTCATGCAAAGTTCTTACGAAAAAAAATACTTCTAAGAAGGAAATGCAACCATTAAAAAGTTTGAATCACTACAGCTCAACTGATTAGGGTTAAAGATTCCAAACCGCTGTTAGAAGCGACTCAGCCATTTGTTCGGGAACTGATACTTTTTAATGCATTTTTCTTTTCGTAGTAGTTTATTTTCAGTGTTTCTGCAAGATTTGATTTTGTTGGTTTGTTTTTTGATAACCCACCGTCTCGGTAGCGTAGATAATCAACATTATATTTTTACGCGCATACCTCACAAAAATTAAAACTCACACAACTCACAAAAAATTAAGTTCAAATACTTTACTGAAGCGCTTAATGTAAAGGAGGTATTTTTGATTTTCCGTTAAAAATTTTTTTTATCATTTTTATGTCTCTAAATTCCTAGCTTCTTCCGGAATTAATTTACGTATAATCTAGTTGGGATGAATAGAAAAAGGAACAAAAATAAATTACAGGGGTGTTAACCCAATCAATTGCCTTGTTTCAAGTAAAGTGGAAAATTAATATTTACTGTAAGCAATATAACTTAAATTTTAGTTAAAAACGATTTTGAAAGTGTAAATGTTTTTCCAAAAAAGCACAACTTTTTTGATCAGATTGGCTTCAACTGATTTTTCAAAGTTTTTAAAATTAGGAAACCTAAATTTAAAATTCATCAAAAGAAGTATTTTTGATGTAGATTA